GCTGCAGGCTTGGGCCACCCTTGAGCTTGGCAAAGTGAAGGTCAGAGAGGGTTACCACCGCGACACTCAGCCATTTAGGTAAGGAGCTGAAGAGGAGCCAAGATCTCTTGCCTCCCTCCCCCAGGCCTATTGAGGAGGGAGGGGGCGTGGCCATTGAGACAGGACTCCCCTGGGCATCACTTGGGCCCTAAGCCTCCCTCTCCTCACCAAGCCCCTTCCCCCTCTCTGAGTGCTCTCTGCCCCTCAGCCCCCTCACTAGACCTCCCCCCACCCCCAGTCCCCTTGCCACAACAGAGCTGCATTTCTAAGGTCCTTTTCCCAGCCACTGCCCTCATCTGGACAGGTGTCTCAAACCTGGGGGTTCCACTTCCCATCTTTCCTAAGGCACCTCCCAGTGTACCCATTGCTCCCTGGGAGACCACACCAACACCACCCCAAAAACTGTCCTCATCCATTCTCCAGGAGGCGCACAGATTTCTTGAAACCCGTGGGCAGGTGTGGTGATTGTAGGAGCTCACAGCTGGATGGTAGGGGTTCTCCTAGGCCCCAGGAGAGGCCTGTAGCCCCCTTTTGTCTGTTGATATTAGAGTACAGTGTAGAGGCCCCCTCAGGGAGAAGGGACTACAGCACTGACAGGGGCAGTGGGTGGGCACAGGGGACTTAGGGTGGGCAGTCTGCAGGTCCCGTCCCCCCTACACACACACACACACACACACACACACACACACACACACACACACACAGGCAGCCCAGAAACCCTAGCAGGGAGGGTGCACACACACACACACACACACACACACAGCCCAGAAACCCTAGCAGGGAGGGCGCGCTGCTCCTCCCCAGACCTCAGGTCTCAGAGCAAACCTGTACATGTCAGTTTCGTTTTGCTTTTTGGCTGTTTTCGTTTCACTCCCTTTCTTTTCTCAAATACCCTTAGTCCAGGACCTCAGCAAGGAAAGTCAAAGGGCATCTGACAAAAGGCTTTTGGTCTCAAGGTTAATTTTTGTTTAAGGACGTTACCTGTGTGGAAACTGCCCCTCCTGGACAGGGTGCCAGGCTTTTGAGCGCTGAGGGGCCTGGTTGGGCCACGTGGGAAGGATCACACCAATGTCCCTGGATCTGTCCTGGGTGTGGGAGAGAGCACGCAGAGGTAGCTGAGGGCAAACAGGACAGGGACAGGTCTGAGACATGATGCCCAATGTCCTACCCCATGGGCACAAAGCCTGAACAGCACAGTGCCCCAAACACCTTCTCCTGGAGGTACCGAAAGGCATGTTTTTCCAGGTCAGGGTGGAAAGGAGGCCCCTTCCCACTGCTGGTCCCCTCCCCAGCCTTGGATGCCTAAGCAGTAGCCCCCACCAGAGCCCTGGGCATGTGCAGACAAAATGGTCACAGCAACTAGGTAGACCCTAGGAGCAAGCAGTCAGGGAAGGTGGCCTAGTCGCTGGCCTGGGGAGGAACCCTTGGCAGCACCCCAATCTTCTCCCTCCCAAAGTGGGACTCCATTTTGACATTGCCCTGGGAGGCAACACTTTGTTACTCCTTTCACAAAACATGGTCCCCCAATTCTCTCTCTACCCTCTGGGCTCTGGGAGTTCAAAGACTGCTGAGCATCCCCTGCCTCTCACCTGCACCCAGATCCCCTCCTTGCCCTTAGAGCCTCTCTTAAAGTGAGATGAGACTGGTTCTCTCTTGCCTCCAGGGAGGTGAGATGGGGGTCATAGACTTTGCCATTAACCAAAAATGTTTTTTGGGAAAAGCACTGGGGGTGGTATTCTTGGACTCTCACCTTTAAAAAAAGAGAGAGACAAATGGAAAAAGAAAAGCTCACCATTCTTAACCCCGTCTATGTTTCTGTTTTTGTTTTTGTTTTTAGCCTCCCATTTGAAACGTGGTAATATTGTGATTCCATTTCTTGTTTAGTGGCAAGGGAAGAGGGTGGGGAAGTTTCTGTAACTCTTCCTGTTATTTTATTTCATTTTTGTTTGTATTTTCTTTTCCTTTTTTTTCTTTTGTAATGTACAGAAATGCAAACTATCTCTCTGGGTTTTTTTTTCTATGTACAGAAATGCAAACTATCTCTCTGGGTTTTTTTTTTTTCTTTCTTCTCTGTTGTTCTAGAATTTTGCTTTTGTGCGTTACTGTGGGAGCCTCTCCTCCTAATGCAGAAATGGTTTTTGAATCTCAGTGAACATTAATCATATACATACCTCTATATAATTATTTTTCCTTTGTAATCAGAATTTAAAAGGGAAGATAACACTTAAAAAATCGTTTCCCAGGCCAACAGCTTCTGCCAAATCTGCAGCAGCCATCCCTTCCCTCAACCCCAGGCAAAGGCACTGGTGGAACTGCCTCAGCTTTCAAATGAACAAAAGTGGTGCAGACCTTACTCTGGGTCCCTGTCTATAAGGAACTTTGGAAAGAAGCTGGGAGACCCAAGGAGGGAGAGACTTGTCCCAGTCACTCAGGGACCTTCCCAGAGCAGTGAGCTTCCTGTGTCTCCTTGGTTCTGTCTAGCATAAGATGATGGCTAGGCATGGCAGGGCGAGCCTGGAAGAGGGTGCTGAAGACACCGGAGAGAGTTTAGTTCAGATGAGGGCTTCAAAGCCAGACACTCCCAACAAAGAGAAAAAAAATCCATCCTGGTTTTGAGACTGAGGCCATAGGATGCTGGCTCCCAACATCTCTTTGTTGTCCCATCCCAGGCCAGGGCTGAACCCCCAAAGGGATTTCTGGGTTCTGCTGCCTACTGCTCTCTGCAGCTCACAGAGATCAAATGACCAGCTCAAGACACACAGCATTTTAGAGGCAGATCCAAAAAGGAGACCCTTTAACCTCAAGACCCCGGCCACAGCCAAGATGTGGAGATGGTAGTCAATGAGAAGCACACTTCAGGAACCTGAATAGGAGGAGGAGGAGGAAGAGGACTTGGGAAGTGGATTCTGGGGGGCTCAGCTCTTACCTTTCTCCTGGGGATCCCTCTAGATGTTGTTGGCTCTCTGAACTCCCCAAAGTATAGGTGAGCCTGGTGTTGCACAACTTTATATGACTACAGCTTTAGCAACTCGGGGAACCCTAAGCCCTCACAGTTCAAACCCATGTGGGGAAAGAAATAATGAGGCACAATGAGGGAAAGGAAGCTGCTCAAGGTCACGCAATGTGGGGTAGAAAAGCCCAAAGCCCAGCGAACTGGCCAGATAAGGTGTGCAGGGATTGCAGCCTTAGGAGTAGGGCCCCTTCCTTGGCTCCACCTGGCCCTAGCATTGGGAGTGTCGAGGGAAGCCTCACCATTTGCTGAGATGCTTCGTGAGCAAGGCCCCCAGGCTCTCTAGCCTCGGCCTCTGGTTCAAATTTCATCTCAAAATGGGAAACCTAGAGTGACCCCAAGAAGAGGTGTCCATGGCACTGCCTGACCTGTCTCATCCAGGCCTCTCTCCTCGACACCCCAGAGGAGAGCAGTGACCATGGCTGGAGTGGGGAAGCCAGAATAGGAAGGGACACCTTGGCATTTCTTCTAGGCTGAAGCCAGAAAGCAGGAGGGATGAATTTTGCTAAATGGTGCTGAAGCCAGGGGGAAAGAGAATAAGGTTGACTTGAGGCAGGATCAGTCCTCCACATTGAATCTGTGGTTGCCTTCCCTTTTAAATGCACAGTTCCCACTTCACCCCATCTGTCCACTCTGATTGGCCTCGTTTAAACAGCTTCTCTTCTTTCTGGCTGGGTCCACCTTTCTCTGTGTCTCTATTTCCTTCTTCCTTCTGCCTTTGCTTCTCTCTCTCTCTCTCCCTCTCTCCTTGACTCTCTCTGTCTCTTTCTCTCCATCCCCCCCTGAAATGGGCCTCTCTCCCCAGGCTGCAAGCCCTCCTTCACCCGCCCTGTGGTTCTGCTTCCATCAGCTGCTTCCTGCATGCCCTCTGGAGGTTTTCTGTTGTTTAAAGAGTTAAGAAAAGCTTGACTATTGGAACCTGTGGTGGGAGGGGGGAAAGCAAACAGAAATGGCTGGGCAGGAGGCCCCTGCCGTCCCTGGGACTAGACCAAAAGCCACACTTAGCTGCCATATGCCAACTCAGAGGGGGAGCGCAGCTCAAAGTCACTGTCTTTCCCCATTCTGCATTCCCAATGCGGAGACCTTCTTTTCTTTTTTATTATTGCATTCCCGTCCCTGACCACTGAGAAGGTAGGTATCCCAGCTCAGCTGTGCGCTCGCTCGCTCCCATCTCCAGATAAGCCCTGCCACTCTGCTTGGTTTGAATGTGGTTTTCTTCCTCTTTCTCTCAGTCTCACTCTGGTTGGTTTTCTTCCCTTCCCTTTTCTTTCTTTATTTTAGTGACTACTCATTTGTAACTTGCATTTTCTCCAAATGAGCTACAAAGCTGTGTTTCCTGGTTTGTCGTTTGGTTTTCTTGACTACCCTCCCCCCGCCCAACAACTTTTCTGGTTCATTCCTCCCTCATTCCCACCTTCCCTGCTCCTTCTTCTTCCTCTCCACCCCACCTCCACCCTACCTCCCAATCCTCCTTCATGCTCTCTCTCATTTTGTTGTCTGAATGCATTTCTGTGTGGTTTAGCATTCCAAGTTTGTGTTCCCATCCTGAACTCTATGCTGTGGTTGAGCCAATTTGATTTCTGTTGTCTGGAGTAACTGCTAAGCCACTCACCCCTCACCCCTGCCAGCCCCTGGGGTGACTTGAGCAATAAATCTTTGTTGGAGGGGCCTGTGCT